CTGAGGACATAATTTTTTTTTTTTTAAATTCAGAGCAAGATTAACTTTTTTGTTGTGCTTTTTGACGGCTAGAATTAATTTTTCTAAACCTTGTACACTGTTGGAAAAGAAAACTGTGTCGTCTGCATAACTTAGTTCTGTGATAGGATTACCTCCAATGTTTAGTGGATCAAAGCTCTCACATACCTCATCGCTAATTGTGTTTTTTCATAACATTTTCAGCAGACATGTTAAACAGGGAGGGTGACAGAATGCAGCCTTTTCTCACTTCTTTCTGCACTTTAAACCATTATGTTATTTTACCAGCTACTCTGACCGCTGCTTGTTGTTCATGGTAAAGAGATTCCATTAAGTGCACCAGATGTTTTGGAAATGCTATGCCTCTCATTATATGTCATAGTTTATGGTGTTGCACACAGACAAATGCCTTGCTGTAGTCTATGAAACAAGTATGAAGATCTATCTTGTATTCTCTACACTTCTCTAGGATGATTCTCATATTGAAAAAAATGGTCTCTTGTTACTCTGCCACGTCTAAAACCTGCATGTGTTTCTTTTAGTTTTCTTTTAGTTCATATTTCATTCTATTGTCAATCCTCCTCAGAATGATATGCAGAAGGAATTCACTGGAATGACTAATTAGAGCTATAGTACGATAATTGTTATACAATTTAGGATTTAAATTGTGCATACTAAGGAATCGAAATATTCAGTGCCATGTGTCCTGTTATTTTATTATTTAAAACAAAACTGCTTCTGTTAGAAAGGGTTTATTTATGGAGGAGACTCTCAACAGATGTTTCTTCTTCTTCAGCGATCTCTGGTCATGCGCATAATCCACTGTGGGCCATAAACTGGGATGTCTTTTCAAGGTCTCTTAGGTTTCCCCAAAGCTTAGTTGACAGTTCTACAGGGTTTTGTCATATGCTGCTCCGCAGCTCCGCCAGGAGAGGACAGTCTAGCAGGACATGTTCTGGAGTCGAATAGATGTTTTAACTGGGAGATGTCTGGCTTCACTGTACTAACTTTGATTGCATATAATTTTTTCTGTTTCCTCCCCTCCTTTCCTAGCTCTCTTCTACCACTCTCTATCTCCTCACATAGTCTCTCTCCTGGCTTCTCTCTGCCCTCCACTTCTTTCTGTGTTTGTGTACAGATCACCTGGCTATCTCCCAAAATCACCAGGGATCTCAGAAACAAAATTGCACTTGTGGACCGAAAACATAGTCCAACAAAAAACGTATAAAATTCAGAGTGCAAGACATATGACACAACCACTTTGGCCACACAAAGACCTGCTAGTTGAAACAATAATTACATCAGGCAAAGCACCAAATCAACAAAAGCTCAAATACTTGAGAGGCATCCTGTCAGAGAATTTCAGGAATATCTAGACACACACAAAGTAATTTCACAATCAACAAGGTGAATGACATAAGCGATTAAACAGCACCAATTCTGAAACATTTTAAGGTGACTAGGAAAACTAGGAAAACATTAACCACACAACTCGTCAGACAAATTTTGTTTCAGCTGACAGGAGTCCTCTTAATGACCTATCAGGTTGTTACACAACTCCATGCTGCTTTATTCTTACTTTAACCATTTCTCTTCATTGTGTTATTCGTGTAGCTTCTTAGGCCTAAACATTGATTAATTAGTGTTAAGAACAGAATAGGTTACAGTAACAACATTCTAGAATATAGCAAGTTAAAGTAACAACTTCTTAGAACACAACATTTAATGTAACAACTTCCTAGAACAGAACGACTAAAACAGCAACTTCCTAGAACAAAACAGGTTAAAATAACAACTTCCCAGAGTAGAACAAGTTAAAATTACTGAAACGTGCGAAAGAGCCTAAATATGCATTGTGGCTCAACTAAATCTTCAGTGTCAAACATGGACTTCCCTCAAAACTCACAGCAGGTTAGATTTGCAGCAAGATTTCCATTGTTCCAGTTCATGTTTTTGCTGGATTCTTGTACTGCTGAGGAAACATGAGAATCATAACAGTCACTAACATAACTGGTGAAATAAGCATTATCTCCTGAGAAATTCTTTATTAAAATGTGCATTCACATAGCAAACGTCCGCTTGTAATCTGAAAGTCTTCTTTGAGTCCACTTGGCGCTGATGTTGGTTCGACCAATATTCAATGAAGCCCATTTCTCTCAGCTTGGTGTAAACCTGTTAAAATACATTCAGTTGAAAGATTAGAGTGTTTGTGAAACCACTGTCTACTCTATCTTAACTCTTTGAGTCCCAGGGGGTTTAGCATCACAGGCCCAGGGGGTGGTAAAGAAAGTAATAAAATCGGCGCATCATGCGTTCATTGGGCTTCTAGGTAGGAACACGTGAACGTATGATGAGTTCCTTGGGATTCAAAGAGTTAACCTTGGTGCAAAAAAATAAGCAAAGGTCCCTTTTTCACACCTTTAGGTGTATGGGGCCTTTATTTTATAGACCAATCAGCACAAGATGGGAGATGTGGTCAGCATCATTTCCAGGACTGCACCCCGTACCCAGTCAAAGTTGTGTCAACCTGGAAGTAAAGGTAATTTTTTTTAAAAGACTGGCTCCGCCAAGGATAGAACCCACAACCTTCTGATCCGCATACAAGCGTCAAGTAGCTACTCCATGATGACTCACTACCCTTGGTGTTCATAGTACTCACCCTGATGTACTCTATGTTAACCTTGGTGTGCTCAGTACTCACCCTGATGTACTCTATGTTAACCTTGGTGTGCTCAATACTCACCTTGATGTACTCTGTGTTAACCTTGGTGTGCTCAATACTCACCTTGATGTACTCTGTGTTAACCTTGGTGTGCTCAGTACTCACCCTGATGTACTCTATGTTAACCTTGGTGTGCTCAATACTCACCCTGATGTACTCTATGTTAACGTTGGTGTGCTCACTACTCACCTTGATGTACTCCATGTTAACGTTAGTGTGCTCAATACTCACCTTGATGTACTCTGTGTTAACCTTGGTGTGCTCAATACTCACCTTGATGTACTCTATGTTAACATTAGTGTGCTCACTACTCACCCTGATGTACTCTATGTTAACCTTGGTGTGCTCAGTACTCACCCTGATGTACTCTATGTTAACCTTGGTGTGCTCACTACTCACCCTGATGTACTCTATGTTAACCTTGGTGTGCTCAATACTCACCCTGATGTACTCTATGTTAACGTTAGTGTGCTCAATACTCACCTTGATGTACTCTATGTTAACGTTGGTGTGCTCAATACTCACCCTGATGTACTCTATGTTAACGTTAGTGTGCTCAATACTCACCTTAATGTACTCTATGTTAACGTTGGTGTGCTAAGTACTCACCCTGATGTACTCTATGTTAACCTTAGTGTCCTCAATACTCACCCTGATGTACTCTATCTTAACGTTGGTGTGCTCAGTACTCACCCTGATGTACTCTGTGTTAACCTTGGTGTGCTCAGTACTCACCCTGATGTACTCTATGTTAACCTTGGTGTGCTCAATACTCACCTTGATGTACTCTGTGTTAACCTTGGTGTGCTCAATACTCACCTTGATGTACTCTGTGTTAACCTTGGTGTGCTCAGTACTCACCCTGATGTACTCTATGTTAACCTGTGTGTGCTCAATACTCACCCTGATGTACTCTATGTTAACGTTGGTGTCCTCTATACTCACCCTGATGTACTCTTTCTTAACGTTGGTGTGCTCAGTACTCACCCTGATGTACTCTGTGTTAACCTTGGTGTGCTCAGTACTCACCCTGATGTACTCTATGTTAACCTTGGTGTGCTCAATACTCACCTTGATGTACTCTGTGTTAACCTTGGTGTGCTCAATACTCACCTTGATGTACTCTGTGTTAACCTTGGTGTGCTCAGTACTCACCTTGATGTACTCTGTGTTAACCTTGGTGTGCTCAGTACTCACCTTGATGTACTCTATGTTAACCTTGGTGTGCTCAGTACTCACCTTGATGTACTCTGTGTTAACCTTGGTGTGCTCAGTACTCACCCTGATGTACTCTGTGTTAACCTTGGTGTGCTCAGTACTCACCCTGATGTACTCTGTGTTAACCTTGGTGTGCTCAGTACTCACCTTGATGTACTCTGTGTTAACCTTGGTGTGCTCAGTACTCACCCTGATGTACTCTGTGTTAACCTTGGTGTGCTCAGTACTCACCTTGATGTACTCTGTGTTAACCTTGGTGTGCTCAGTACTCACCCTGATGTACTCTGTGTTAACCTTGGTGTGCTCAGTACTCACCTTGATGTACTCTGTGTTAACCTTGGTGTGCTCAGTACTCACCCTGATGTACTCTGTGTTAACCTTGGTGTGCTCAGTACTCACCCTGATGTACTCTGTGTTAACCTTGGTGTGCTCAGTACTCACCCTGATGTACTCTGTGTTAACCTTGGTGTGCTCAGTACTCACCCTGATGTACTCTATGTTAACCTTGGTGTGCTCAGTACTCACCTTGATGTACTCTGTGTTAACCTTGGTGTGCTCAGTACTCACCCTGATGTACTCTGTGTTAACCTTGGTGTGCTCAGTACTCACCCTGATGTACTCTATGTTAACCTTGGTGTGCTCAGTACTCACCTTGATGTACTCTATGTTAACCTTGGTGTGCTCAGTACTCACCTTGATGTACTCTATGTTAACCTTAGTGTGCTCAATACTCACCCTGATGTACTCTATGCTAACCTTGGTGTGCTCAATACTCACCTTGATGTACTCTGTGTTAACCTTGGTGTGCTCAATACTCACCTTGATGTACTCTGTGTTTACCTTGGTGTGCTCAGTACTCACCTTGATGTACTCTGTGTTAACCTTGGTGTGCTCAGTACTCACCCTGATGTACTCTATGTTAACGTTGGTGTGCTCAATACTCACCCTGATGTACTCTATGTTAACCTTGGTGTGCTCAATACTCACCTTGATGTACTCTGTGTTAACCTTGGTGTGCTCAGTACTCACCCTGATGTACTCTATGTTAACGTTGGTGTGCTCAATACTCACCCTGATGTACTCTATGTTAACCTTAGTGTGCTCAATACTCACCTTGATGTACTCTGTGTTAACCTTGGTGTGCTCAGTACTCACCCTGATGTACTCTATGTTAACCTTGGTGTGCTCAGTACTCACCTTGATGTACTCTATGTTAACCTTGGTGTGCTCAGTACTCACCTTGATGTACTCTATGTTAACCTTGGTGTGCTCAGTACTCACCTTGATGTACTCTATGTTAACCTTGGTGTGCTCAATACTCACCCTGATGTACTCTATGTTAACCTTGGTGTGCTCAATACTCACCTTGATGTACTCTGTGTTAACCTTGGTGTGCTCAATACTCACCTTGATGTACTCTGTGTTAACCTTGGTGTGCTCAGTACTCACCCTGATGTACTCTATGTTAACCTTGGTGTGCTCAGTACTCACCTTGATGTACTCTATGTTAACCTTGGTGTGCTCAGTACTCACCTTGATGTACTCTATGTTAACCTTGGTGTGCTCAGTACTCACCTTGATGTACTCTATGTTAACCTTGGTGTGCTCAGTACTCACCCTGATGTACTCTATGTTAACGTTGGTGTGCTCAATACTCACCCTGATGTACTCTATGTTAACGTTGGTGTGCTCAATACTCACCTTGATGTACTCTGTGTTAACCTTGGTGTGCTCAGTACTCACCCTGATGTACTCTATGTTAACCTTGGTGTGCTCAGTACTCACCTTGATGTACTCTATGTTAACCTTGGTGTGCTCAGTACTCACCTTGATGTACTCTATGTTAACCTTGGTGTGCTCAGTACTCACCTTGATGTACTCTATGTTAACCTTGGTGTGCTCCATACTCACCTTGATGTACTCTGTGTTAACCTTGGTGTGCTGAATACTCACCCTGATGTACTCTGTGTTAACCTGTGTGTGCTCAGTACTCACCCTGATGTAATCTTTTGTTGACCACAACACCTTATCTACAGCAATGCATATACATTTTTCAATTTTGTACTCAGTCCATTCTTTAGCATTTTTAGCCTAGGGTTTCTGCTGCCTTTTTCCTCTTATTTTGCCTTTAGCTGTAGGTTCAAGTATACTGTCAACAAGTAAAAAATATAACATCACATAGCAGCAAAAGACAGCCTTACCTGATAAATGTGAATGTATTCCTCAGCAAGAGGGTAGTCAGGAAAGAGGTGGTATTCTACATCAAACTGTCGTATAGATTTAAAAACATCTGTCTCTATCATGTTATCAATAATCGTCCATTCGTAGGTCTCCACATCCATCTTGAGGACGTCAATCACTTTCTGATGATAGAAATGAGATAACATAAGTTAGAAGTAATTCTTACAGAACTGAAATGTCTGCAAGTATTCCTAATATAACTGATGAAAAATAGGATGAGATCAGAAATGATAATGTCAGGAAAGAGGTTTGGCAGAACAAGTACTTAACTACATCAAGAGACAATAGATCAAATTGCTTGGGAATGGATCAAGTCTGCCACGGGATAGTGCATCACAGAGAGTCCTGTCACACAGACATAATAGAAGCAACTAGAGATTGACCATTTAAACTGTGGATAGATGGAATGTATGAGACTGTAAACACCAACGTCTTCATTGCACATAACAAAGCTTGCACCAAATGACACTTAAAGATATGATGCTGAAAGGCAGAAAAAGAAGAAGTAATTAGTTTTTCCTCTTTCTTTGTCTCCCATCTACACATCTCTTTCCTTCATCTTCCCTCACTCATAATGTCTCTCATTTTCCTTCTCCTCCTCCTTCTGCTACTGCTTCCCTTTTTATTTTCAAATTAACTGTGACACACAGAATAAATATGACACACATGTAAGGCAATTGTGACAAAAGTCAGAGTAATTTTTACATTTGAACACAATAATTGCGAAAACATATGTATATGTGCACATAATTATGTTCAGTAATTGTGATGTAAATACAGAAACATCACAAGATACAAGCCTGTTAATTTTTTTGTGAATGCAGTGTAACTGTGTTGCGGATGAAGTGTAACTGTGTTGTGGATGAAGTGTAACTGTATTGTGGATGAAGTGTAACTGTGTTGTGAATGAAGTGTAACTGTGTTGTGGATGAAGTGTAACTGTGTTGTGGATGAAGTGTAACTGTGTTGTGGATGAAGTGTAACTATGTTGTGGATGAAGTGTAACTGTGTTGTGGATGAAGTGTAACTATGTTGTGGATAAAGTGTAACTGTGTTGTGGATGAAGGGTAACTGTGTTGTGGATGAAGTGTCGTCCGTGTTGTAGCTGCCGATGCCCATGTTGTGGAATGTTGAATTGTTGGCTCTCTTGTGGTCCTTCTCCTTCATACTGCGGAACACAGGACAAAGTGGATTGTGGTAGTGAAGTGACACAGGATGGGGACACACACACACACACACACGCACAGACAGACAGACAGACAAACAGACAGACAGACAGACAGACAGACAGACAGACAGACAGACAGACAGACAGACAGACAGACAGACAGACAGACAGACAGACAGACAGACAGACAGACAGACACACAGACAGACAGACAGACAGACACAGACACACACACACACACATACAAGACTTAAAGACATGATAGTAGCTTCTTCTTATAGTCCATGTCATGTGGCATTGGTAAGTACGTTCCATCTATAAACTTCTAGCTTGCCTACCGTCAGTTAGTTCGGACTAAGCTGATTCTCCACGCCTTGTAGTTTTGATTGTGTCAATCTAGTCTCTGTCGCAAGCAGTGCCCATTATTTCTAACACACAGTATCAATATTCATCGATGCCATGATTTCTCCTCCTTTTAATTCCCTTTCTCTTTCTTCTTATTCTCCTCCTCCTCCTCATTCTTGTTATTTTCTCCCCTCTGTTCGTCTTTAGATAAAACAAGAAAAAATATGGCGGGATGGGGGTGGGGAGAGAAAGACAGAGACAGAGGAGACGTAACATTTAACCTGGGATCCAATAATGCAGGGCTACTCAACAAAGTTGACTCAGGACAAGGCTGTTGAAAATGGGCATCGCTAGGGCCCAGAGCCCCAGCATATGAAAACCGCTAATACGATAGAGTTAAGAATGATCTGCGGGCCATATGCTAGTCTTCCATGGGCCAGATTTGGTCCAAAGGCCACCAGTTGAACAGCCTTGAAATAGGGAAGAGAGAGAGAGAGAGAGACAGAGAGAGAAGACACAATTAATTTGGGATCAAATAGGAAAGAGAAAGAGAGAGAGAGAGAGAGAGAGAAAGAGAGAGAGAGGGAGAGAGAGGGGGAGAGAGAGGACAAAATTAAATTGTGACAAAAGAGGAAAACAGAGAGACAGAGAGAGAGACAGAGAGAGAAGACACAACAAACCTGGGATCAAATAAATGCACCTCACATCCCAAGTCAGTCATTGCATCATCAAAGCCAAACTCCCAGTTGATTCTGTGGAGCACAGACAAGCACAGTGTTGTCATGGACATGAAAACACAGACAAGCACAGTGTTGTCATGGACATGAAAACAAAGACAAGCACAGTGTTGTCATGGACACGAAAACACAGATAAGCACAGTGTTGTCATGGACACGAAAACACAGACAAGCACAGTGTTGTCGAGGACATGAAAACAGAGACAAGCACAGTGTTGTCATGGACATGAAAGTAAATAAATATTGGACAGTATCTGAATGCACGATTTTCAAGAAAACGTGTTTCTTTAACTCTTTCACCACCAAATGTTTTGTTGTGATTTCAAAGATAATATAATGCAATTGCATCTGTGCTGTCTAGCGGGGTCTGGACCCAGATAACAGGTAAAGCTACCAAATCTGTAGATCCAGGCCGTTACGCTTTATACTGCATCTGCTCAACGGTGTCTCATTAAAAATTAAGGAACGAAAGCCTTGGCTTGCGAGGACAAAGTAAAAGTAAAGCATGCAAAGGACAGTAGCCAGGCTTGACCAGTTTGCATCTGTAAGCATTATCAGGTAACGTTTGGGGAGGGTTTCAAGTAAAATTCCCCTTCCCCCCTCGAGAATTCGCTGTTGAGAGTATGCGTGCACAGCTAGCACCATAGTACCAGTAACTAGTAGCTTTTACATGTTACTGTTTCTCATGAAGCGAACCTTCTGTTTGCTATGTTCATGACGTAAATTAAGTGGTTTATTTGTAATAAATAGTAAGCATAAATAATAAGTAGTAAAGTAATAAATATTTATTTGGCAATGGACAGTGTAAGTTGTGATAACGGGTGTTGCGTACACCCAGCTGTCATTAGTAAAGAATTTACTGTGTGTGTGTTTTTTTTTTTAATCCATTGATACAACGAGCATGTGATTCTGGATTGATACTTTGATAGACCAGTCTAACACTGGGTGGGGGATGCACTCAGTATCATGGTGGCCTGCTTTACTTCCCCAGACTTCCCCTAGTATCCATTTTAGGCTTTTGCCCTGGGAGCCAAAATCAGTTACGAACAAATCTGACTGGATGTGAACTCAAAACCTTTGAGTCAGCAGGCAAACGTTTAGCCACTTTTTCACCGTAGCGCCTAAATACACACACATAATAATAAGCTGATATAAAAGGATAAAGAAGCCACTGTGGTGTAGTTGTTTTATGTTCCCTAGCGAGCCGAAGTTCGTGGGTTCAAATCAGAATGGGGCTGGCCTTTTTTTAAAATCACCTTCCCTTCCAGGTCGACCTAGCCTTAAATGGGTACCTAGTAAAGACATGAGAAGTAAAGGCGGCTACTTGATGTTGACCATATCACCAACCGAGTAACGATTTGTCTATAAAATATAGCTCTAGTCTGATATGGCCAGTACGCCTAATGGTGGGGGAAAATGTTCTAAAATTTGCATAAAGATAAACAATATGGCAGCAAACAGACAATCTAAAAGTTCAGCCACTTCAGTCTACTATTTTCAGAATCTTAATCTAAAGAATTGTGAAGTGTGAGTTGAGTCAAGAATTGACATCACAGCACTCGGGGCATTCACAGGTATGCTCGGTCACCATCTTCAGCAGCCAGCGCAGAGTTCCGATACTGATAGTACCGGTCATAATCTGTCTATATGTCCATCTTGCCTTTCCTCTGAGTGAAGTGAGCCGGCCAGACCCTCTGGTTACACTCAGGTGCCTCATTCTCTCCAGGCCATAATAACCTTCTTTCTCTACTGATTCCGTTGCTTGTTCCCAAAGGGCATTGACCACCTCTGCCTTGCCAGGTATCAGTTCACAACCCAGTTGTGCAGATCCAGCCAATCTGGCTGCCTGATTGTGAATTAAAGGACCTTTTCCTCACCCTTAGATGTATTGGGAATACCGGGTTAGACCTATCTTTTATAGACCAATCGGTTCCTGGTGGGAGGTGGAGTCAAAATTACGCCGGCTCAGAAATGATCAAACCAAGATCAAGTTTCGAGAGAAAGCTAAACACTGGTGTAAGATACCCACCGTCCAGAGCTGCATAAATACTAATGACCTTGGTAACTCACCCGAAAGAATAGACCAGGCATGGAGGCCTGATCGTGTAGGGCTCATCCTGGCATATCAGCCAGTTTCCCACGTCCTGTTTTGTCTTGCATGTGTATCGAACTGGAGCTTGCATATACCTGGTCACGTGAGGGTAAAGGGTGCAGTTGAAAACTAGGTACTTGGAACAGACTCAGTGGTGATTTCGTGATGTCTTCTTATTTCATACTATTAGTTTTTTGCTTAAACGATACATTGTGGCTGCAACAACATTGTCATCCTCATCATCGTTAGGGAGAAGGAGAGATAGAGAGAAACAAATAGTTTATGGTGGCACTCTGAAGACTCCCTGTTGGATTAATGCTTTATGCTATTTGTTTTGCTGAGACTGCAGTCTGTCAATTTTGTTCCACAAGACAAGGGCGAGCAATAGACATCACTATGTGTGATTTTCCTTGGTGCAGGAAGCGAGCAAGTATGGAGTCCCCGTCTGCTCTCACCTTTGAACTACGAATATCTTATTCTTCTTCTTCTTCTGCCTTTCTATCCCCCAATGGAGCATAGGCCCTCAACCAACTCACGCCAAGTCGTTCTATCCTTCGCCATTACATGGAACTCTCCCCATGTCCTCCCAATCTTTCTAACCTCATTCTCCAGCTCTCTTTTCCATGTGTTTTTTGGCCTTCCTTCATAGAGAGTTCTAACATTCCAGGTGCCAATTCTGGAGGTTTTCCTAGCTGAGAGGAGGTAAGTCAACGATCCGGACTCCTTACGGCTTTCTCCACACCGTGTCATACTTCTTCTATTTGAAGAGCCTCCCCTCATCTTGGTTGGCTGGATTTTATTTGCTTCTCTTTTTGACTTATCCATGGTTGGTTGGTTTTTGTGGCTATGGTTTTTACAGGATGAGGTAGCCAACCTCAAACCCAACCCTACCCTTAGTCGCCTCTTACGACATGCCTGGTAGGGTGCAGTGTCACTATTCTTTGCTTCCCGTGAGGGCCCCGGAAGGGAGCAACTATGGAGTTCCCCTCTGCTCTCACCTTTGAACTACGAATATCTAATATATAATATTGGATATGCTGACGATTATATTACGATGGTGATGATAATAATGATGATAAACATGATAATAACGATGTTTGAAGATGATAATGGTGTTGATAAAAAGGATGATGACGATGACCGCAACGATTTAGACGATAGTGATCACAGTAAGGAGGGGTTGAAATTTCACCATAGATGCCAAAAACGGTGACGACAACAACGGTAACGACAATAATAGTGACGACAATAACGGTAACGACAATAACGGTAACGACAATAACGGTGACGACAATAACGGTGACGACAACAACGGTGACGTCAACAACGACCATGACAACAAGGAACACCCACCAGTCTACCATGGCAGCTGCCTGCCACCAGGTAGTGATTGTCTTGGGGTCATTTGGGTTAATCATCACCTTTACATTCTCGGCTTCCGTCATGAAGACTTGTCCATATTGCAGCAGGAGAGCTGAAAGAGAGAGGGTCACAGATTCAGTCATGAAGCAATGCTGCAGCAGGTTTCAATTAAAAAGAACACACTCCCCATGTTGATTCCGAGGTTCCGTTCTAGCGGGAGGGGGATATAAACCTTGCTTCCCTAACAAGCATGTCGTAAAATGCGATAATTATAGAGTTTCCTTCAAAGATGGAGTGCATACGCCTGAGAGTCTCATAACCAACAGTCTGCATACAATAAGCCAGATCTGTTAAACACACAAAACTCAACTTCCGGAACAAGACCAAAGTCCAGAAGTTGATTAACAACCACAACTTTCTACCGGAGTTTACAGACGGTGAACGATAACAAGAAGAAGATGAGAAAAAAAGAAGGAAAGAGCATAAAGAAGGCGGGGCTGAAAAGATTAAATTTTAAAATGACCAAAATCATGTGTGTGCGTGCCGTTCATCTCCTTCCGTAAAAAATGTGAAACCCGAGATCAAAAGCCATAAAGAAAGATCTGAATCTGGATGGCAAACCAACAGTCTGCACCCGAAGGTATGACACCCAAAGTCTGAAAATTGACTCAGTGCTGGTGACTGAACAACAGGGCAAGCCCAGGTACCGTGTTCAGCCTCTAAGGAAGTTATAACTAGGGTGATCTGAAGGACGCATACTCTAGTGTCAGGGCGTACATTGGCTGGCCTTGGATTCTGCTTGTGTGATCAGTGCGTTTAGGGCACCACAACTTGGGACCTATTGGAAACTTAGTCTCATCCCACCCTCTCCAGCAGTATTGGAAATGTCGTCTAAGCCCTACCACGCCACCCCCTCCCCTCCCTCTTTTCTCTTTTCCTCAGAAAAGATATAAAAAAAAAGAACTTATATACAGGGAGGGGGTGGAGGTGGGGGGGGGGGGATGTCACTCAGCCTGGTCCGCCCACAATCTACTTATTCATGTGACATTTTCTCAAATATATATTTATATTTATGTGCCCTTTAACACATAAACATTATCATCAAATAAATAACACCCCCTGCCCCCCCCCCCCCAACGGAATTGATGCCAGTTACAAAAACAATCACCTAGCTAGATACAATTTTTTAGTTTTCGCATGCGTACTTTCTGATTAAATGAACATGCTTAAAAAGATCTATGATAAATTCTCATCTGAGAATAATCTGCTTCCTGTTTGCGCCAAGACACGTTGTGGGTAAGAAGGAATGAAGGATCTGATTGGTTTGCTGGCAGGGCCAGGGTAGGTACAAGAAAAGCAATGGACATTCTCTCAAATTCAGAGTGAACCTGCCTTAGAAGCAATGAATCAACAGTCTACTTATACACAAACCACGTTTGTTAAATCGATGTGCATGCAAAACTCAAGCTTTGCATCAATACCAAAGTCCAGGAATGGTTGAAACACCACAACCTTCAACTAGAGTTTCTGCCAGTAAACACCAAGAAGAAGGAGAAGCAATGGGCCCAGAAGATGTTTGAATGCTCACAAGGAGTCATGACCAGTAGGTGATTCCGGATTTAACTGTGAGTCCGCAACCGTGACAAGACTACAAGAACTTCAAAGGGTGTTGCCAGACATAAACACTCATTAAGGTTAGTCGCGTATCCTTTACAGGACGTTGCAGAACCAACCCAACAGCCCCTGGATGTTGTGTGGTTTTTCTAGTCAAATTTACGTCCAATAGTTTGCCATTGCCCACTGGACGGTCGGCTTTCTTGATACCATTGTCGAAACCAACGCAAGGCGCATGGCCCGCAGTTGGGATCGAACCAGGCATCCCGGCATTACGAGGCGTTCTCATCGACTTAGCCCAGAGCCGACTAAACACTGATACATGTAGCCAAATAAGAATAGTAAACTAACACAGGACTGGTGTGATAGTCACCGCCCTCTGAGGGATATACTGCAGATAGGATCAGATCATATGGACTATATTCCATTCTAGAAGCGGTGACTAACTTTAAACATAAATAACTCATCAACCGTTCTTGTAAGTTGTTCAAGCTTGGTATGCAATCTTGTAGGAATTGTTTTATCAATGTAAACAAATGCCGATTCAAAGCAAGTAGACAGAATGCTTGCGGTTAACTGAGTAAAGGGAAATATCAGATTGAAGATATTTCACAGGTGTTTCAATCATAATCAGACTCCCCTGAGTAACATGAACACAATGTTTCATTGCATGCGGGATATGCTATCACAATAATAACCATGCATCGCTGTACATGTTAACTCATTTCAAACAATCTCTGTACATGTTAACTCATTTCAAACAATCTCTGTACATGTTAACTCATTTCAAACAATCTCTGTACATGTTAACTCATTTCAAAACAATCTCTGTACATGTTAACTCATTTCAAACAATCTCTGTACATGTTAACTCATTTCAAACAATCTCTGTACATGTTAACTCATTTCAAACAATCTCTGTACATGTTAACTCATTTCAAACAATCTCTGTACATGTTAACTCATTTCAAACAATCTCTGTACATGTTAACTCATTTCAAACAATCTCTGTACATGTTAACTCATTTCAAACAATCTCTGTACATGTTAACTCATTTCAAACAATCTCTGTACATGTTAACTCATTTCAAACAATCTCTGTAGATGTTAACTCATTTCAAACAATCTCTGTACATGTTAACTCATTTCAAACAATCTCTGTACATGTTAACTCATTTCAAACAATCTCCACGCGTGTGTGAACTATTGCATATATTCTTTTCAAGAGGGGGGTGGGTGTTGTTTAGGGGTACACAAATTATTAGTGAAACTAAGATCAAAGTATCTCGCTGCTTTAAGAAACAGCAGCACCTGTGCAGTTGTAAATTATAAAATCATAAGGACATGGAAAATCTGAGACCACATGCATACAATTCTTGTTGATCCGTACCGGAGTTTACGAGATATTTGTTCAAGTGTGAGGGCATGATTTTCGAAACGCACTATAGTCTAATGTGCGATGTGGATAATTGGCGGATTAGCTAAATAATCAACCAAGTCAAGTCAAGGACCTTATCTACGCTTTCAAGTTATTGGGCACATAAGGCTAGACCTGTGTTTTTAAGACCACTCGTCATTTGGTGGGTGATGTGGTCAGGATCACACCGGACGCCTTTACTTCCCATGACTCCACCTGATACCCATTCATGGCTAAGTTGACCCAGGAGCCAATTGCATTTATAAAAAGTACAGTCAGGACCGGAAACTAAACAATGGTGATTTAAAAATATAATCAAGGCAGTTCTCAATGAAACAAATAAAACCCGCTGACTGGTTTTAAAAGACAGCCAGGGGCGTCAGAACTCCGGCGCTAATGCACCCTCAGCGCAGAGCACCCCCTCCCCTTTTCGCCCCTGGAGACAGCCATCCTTGGAGACAGTCGCCTCTAGAGAGAGTGACCCCTGCAGAGAGTTGGGCGTGTCCTCAAAAATAAATCTGAACAATGACAATGCAATCTTGGCGAGCAAAGAGCAAAGGGAGGGAAAAAAAAACTAGATCGAACGCATTTCACAATCGGAACTAGACTACAGATCGTGTGAGGTAGCCCATACTAGCTGACGCACCCGAATGGCATATTACATAACTTTTCCCCATCTTCCCAGCCACTGAAATCCAGCATCAGGTGTTTCGAAAATGCATATTTACCAAACATAGATCAAATAACAAACGCCAAGGGCGCCGACACACATAAAACCTAGAGGCGGGGTCGGCGGCTGACTGCCCTTACACATGTGTATGTGTTTTGAGGGGTGACGTCTCAAAGGGCCGAAGACTGATTTGAGTTGTCAATAATAATAATAATAATAATAATAATAATAATAATAATAATAATAATAATAATAATACTGTACGGTATGGTGAATAAATATAGTGAAAATAAAATGCTACGTTAAAACAAAAACTTAAACAAAAAATATGAACTTAAATGTATGGTTGGGGGTGGGGAAGCTTATTGCTATTACAAATTTAGGGGGGGGGGGTTGAGCAACATTTAGGGAGGGGTGGGGTGGGCTAGGGGTACTCTGTGTTCCTAATCATCCACGTTACAGGACTCCTGTATAACACACATCACACAAATCGCAATGTCAAATGTAACATTTCAAGCAGAGTGACATTAGTGGAGGGCGCCATTGTTTGTTTATACGTCTTACACAGAAATATCAATATTATGACAGTTTCTACTGCACACTTCTGCTCCGGTGGCGATGGTTGTAACTGTCGGTTGAATCGATCCTGATGCCAGCCAAGTTGTCAATCTGTTCTTCGCGTATGTCTTCGTGCTCACAGCTTCATTCATAACGTGTTAGCGACAACATGTCAGTTACAGCCAGAAGCAAACAGAGGACCCTTGTCGACATCTTCAGGTGTGTTAGGCATATAGACCTTGGCCTATATTTTATAAAGCAATCGACACTGGGTGGGTGATATGGTAAACATCATGCCCGCCGCCTTTGATTCCCAAGACTTTACCTGGTACCCATTTAAGGTTGGGTCGACCTGGATCCCACAATAATTAAAAAAACTATCTATCAGGATCTGAACTTGTGACCTCCGGATGCGCAGGAGAGTGTCTAACGGCAACAACACTTCGGCTCTACAGCCCTTACCAAAAAACACACACACAAATATCACCAATTAGTTCCCAAGTTTCACCATTGCCATCGCACCCTGTTGATATTTTTAAAACATCACTCACAGCCGGTCCCTTCCCCGTTTATAACTGGCAATTTAATCATCATCATCATCATTATCATCATCATCATCATCATTATCATCATCATCATCATCATCATAATCATCATCATCCTCATCATCATCATAATCATCATTATCCTTATCATCATCATCATCATCATCATCATCATCCTCATCATCATCATCATTATCATAATCATCCTCATTATCATCATCATCATTATCATCATCATTATCATCATCATTATCATCATCATTATCATCATCACAATTTGTCATGTCATCATGGCGGCGGTGATTTACCACCCTTCATGATCACCAGATGATGTATCAAGTCAATGATCTTGTCCCACCCCAAGTTTGGCGCTAAGCCATCAAGGTATATATCTGAATCCCCCTCCCCCTCGCCAAACTCTCTTTCATCAATCTTGCCAGGTGTCACAGGCAAGTTCTGGAGTCTATTCGCTCCTTGGGAATGCAGCTTCTGTAGTCAAGCAAAAAGACAGTTCCAGATCCCCCTCCCCCCAATCACCCACCCCCATTCCCAACCCAAAACTGACCACCGCAGGTACCACAAACTGAACCCTTCCAGCCCCAGCGCCCGGCCTGGGCAACGCTGGACGTGACGTAACGTGCTGACATGTGTGGGCTGGAACCTAGTTCTTGTAAACGAAACATTTTAATTCCAAGAGTTGAGTTGAGTCAATAAGTGACATCACAGCACACGGGGCATTCCCGTGCGTGCTCCGTCCTTATCTTCAGCAGCCAGTGCAGTGTCAAAATACTGATGGTACCGGTCACCATCTGGTTATATGTCCGTCTTATTCGTAGCAGTAATGTAAACGCGTTGCTTCCAAAAACCTCTGAACGTCCTATCTCTTGGTCACTGACAATGTCGACGTCATCCATAGGCCGGCCATCTGAAACTAAAACTAATTGAGAACTCGCCAGCCCATCAGCTCTGTCAATGCGAACGATACCTCTTTATCCTGAAACACATCTGAAAGTAACTGCACACACAGGAGAGATTTGCAGTGACAACCCACTGTTTGCAAATGAAGCCTGCCTCGAACCACCGAATCATGCCCATAGAATCACCCAGCACACACAAACTGCAGTAGTCATGTCTGTCTAGCCACAGAAAAGCGTGTGTCACCGCCATCACAGTAATTTCAGATATTTCAACAGCAAGAGAATAAAACAAAGTTATTGAAATTTCGACAGACAGACAACACGTTAAAGTGAGAACTGTCAAATGGTATCTATAGTCAGCCCAGAAACCGGAACAATGAAAAAGTAGATAGAAAATCGAACTGACTGCTAATGTGGATATACCGATGAAAGGGTCGTATTTCATGGAGAGAAAAACAGGAGATCAGAGCAGCCAAGGAAATGAAAAGAGACGTCCTTGTGGAGATTTAAAAAAGAAAGGAAACAAATGAAATATCTCGGTTGTATTCAAAAAAACATAACATACTACTATTTTAAAAACCATACTTTCGGGACAGTTAAAATTAAAAGCCAGCGAGCAAGAGGTAGACAACGATGCATTTGGGATGATAAGATCAACAGATCAAAGAGCTGCAGTCTGAAAGAGTGCACCCAGGGCGAAAGACAGATCTTCTCAAAGACCAACGGCAGCCAACCTTCGCTGGGGAGGCGGCATGTAAATGATGATTGATTGAATAACATGAATTCCAAGTGTTGTACTCACGCGCCGCTCCACTGTTGTTGACAAAATATTTCATCGCCGTCGGTGCTCGTATCTGCTGTGTCTCAATCTCACCACGACCAAAGCAAGACTCGGAGACCATGTTTGTTAAGCCGGCCATCGATATCATTAAGAGCACTGCCAGCAACAGACATGCGCAGACTAACGCCTTCCAAGTCCATATGCTTTTTTGAAACTGAAACATGACGCTGAAATGGATATATAAACATCTATCATTAAAATGTGTTCTTATAGATTTGAGAGAGAGCTAAGACATGAAGCTACAGTTCCAATGCTTGAGACAATTGATCTTAAGTATGAATGTTTAAGACCACTGATCTATAGTGCCAATGTTTGGGACCATTGATCTATAGTACCAACATTTGAGACCATTGATCTATAGTACCAATGTTTGGGACCATTCATCTATAGTACCAATGTTTAAATACATTCACTCATTAGTTCGAATGTTTGGGACCATTGATCTACAGTACTAATTTTTGAGACTATTGAGCTATAGTACCAATGTTTGAGACCAATAATCTATAGTTCCAATGTTTGTGACCAATGATCTATAGTACCAATGTTTGAGACCAATGATCTATAAAACTAATGTTTGAGAGGACTGATCTATAGTACCAATGTTTGAGACCAATGATCTATAGAACTAATGTTTGAGACGACTGATCTATAGTACCAATGTTTGAGACCAATGATCTATAGTACCAATGTTTGTGACCAATGATCTATAGTACCAATGTTTGAGACCAATGATCTATAAAACTAATGTTTGAGAGGACTGATCTATAGTACCAATGTTTGAGACCAATGATCTATAGAACTAATGTTTGAGACGACTGATCTATAGTACCAATGTTTGAGACCAATGATCTATAGTACCAATGTTTGAGACCAATGATCTTTAGAACCAATGTTTGAGACCAATAATCTATAGTTCCACTGTTTGAGACCAACGATCTATGGAACTAATGTTTGAGACAAATGATCTATAGTTCCAATGTTTGAGACCAATAATCTATAGTTCCAATGTTTGCGACCAATCATCTATAGTTCCAATGTTTGTGACCAACGATCTATGGAACTAATGTTTGAGACGACTGATCTATAGTGCCAATGTTTGAGACCAATGATCTATAGTACCATTCATTTCATTGGCACCTTTCCGTCTTTCCAGATGATAGTTTTATATTGCACTATGGGGAGGCATGAGACTCACAGCCCATGGCGATAGCGAGTGTGACTAGCTAGTCCCGCCCGTGTCAGGAAAAGTCTTTC